ATTGACCATTCTGAAGTACATTTTACGTTTCCTGAAGTACTGTTGACTATTCTGAAGTACATTTTATAGTTTCTGAAATACATTTGACGCTTTCTGAAGTACTCTTGGAAAAGGTGTAGTAGTAGATAAACGACTATTATTCGATTATCGCTTTTCCATGGTATCGCAATGTTGATCTCCCGTTCAATAAGCGACTGTGAACCGGTTTTAGCCGTTCATCCTTCTATAACTTTTTAGTTTGTAGAAAAATGAGCAACTAAAAGCTATTCATACTCACGACATCGAAAATGCCATGAATAATTGCTAATCGTTTATCTACTACTAGTCGACACTCGCAATGGGGGTGTGCACCTTTTATTTATGTCTATGTGATCGCGTAGCTACTCCAAGATGATATCAGTTGCGTTCCCCAACTTTTCTTGGTTTAAACCTGTAAAACTGTCCAAAGGCTTTCTGGTAAATTCCTGTAAATTCTAGCGAGTTAGGGAACGCAACTATTGTAGGCAGAAGAACAATACATAAAAAACACCCGTGCTAGCTCGCAAGCCCAACGCTCGTTTAAGTTAATGGCTTATGTACATATATCCAGGGATATCGCTGAATGTGAATAGCCACGAACGTAGCGTATACTTTGAATACACACATTCGGAGCAGTTCGGATTCAGTACATTCGTAGATTTCACGAAAAAGCAGACTACGATGGAAACTAATGGGGCGATTATAGATGGCAATGCAACCTCAGTTGGGGTGCCCGATGGACAATGCCACTGAAATGAAAATGTACATATATTATGAATAGCAACTAGTCAAGTTTTATAAAGTTGAAGGAAATACAATTTTGAAAAACCAGCTGCTAAGACTTGAGTGCAAATATCGAGCCCTAACCGCCAAAATAACGTAAGCGCCATTTTTTTCAAAATTTTCTTTTCGATGCAGAAATACATCTAGATGCCCGGGGAATATTTCTGCATCAAAAATAAAATTTTGAAAAAAAAGTCGCTTACGTTATTTTGGCGGTTAGGGCTCGATATGTACAGTTGAAAAAATACATATGTAAATAAATTATCTCAATCAAAATTTCCGCGGCAACCACAAAAATTCAATTGCCAGTGGCCATCTGTAATACCATTTCAGCCACTGGCCAACCAACTGAAGTTCGGTTGCCATCCGCAATCCAGGTGTTTTTTTTGTTAAGGTGTTTTTTTTTTAAGAAAGTATAGCTGCTTACTTAACAAATACCATATGAATCCAAAATGCATAACTTTGTTTGTTGACGGGTTTCACTTTTTCCCATTCAAATAATGTTCGAACATTTCTTTTAAATACAATTTTGCCTATTATTACTCCTTAGCAGGATTCGAGTTTGAGTTAATTTAGTTTAAAAAACTTACCTTTAGTTTTATTTGAATAAAAAGCTGGTATCGTGTTTAGTGTTTCTTTTATTAGTGTTATACTTAAAATAAGATATTTATGCATCTAACATTTTAATTTTTCGATTATGTATCCTTATTATTTCTTAATGTCTCTCCGTACGGTATTGTACAATCGGTTACACTATTATCATATGTATGTAATAGGGAATATATTGGCTGTGGCATATACTTACGTTCCAACACTGCACACACATTTTCAATCCTGTAATTCTTATGCCTATTTAGTCATAATTTATATACTTGTCGATGTTTTGTATTATTTGAATCAGTTTTACTAGTGCATATTATTTGTTTTTGTTGCTGTTTCTGTTAATATTTTTGTATTTTTTGTTGCTATGATAACGTAACGTTTTCATATTGTAAAATGTACACTAATAAGTTCCTTTTCATTTTTTAATTCCATTATTGTATGAGATTTTCCTTTATTTTATTTTTTTCTTAAAGTTTTGTATCCGCGATACTTTGATGTTTGAACAATTTGATGATTTAATATTGGGCATTAGATATAATTTTTCTTGTTTGTCTTCTAACATTTTTTTTTACCTCTGTACGTTTTTTATATATGCATAAGTATATTTTGTTTTTGCCTTTCATGTTTATTTATTTTATTTATATATTGGATATTGAATAGATTAAGCTAACGCATGTTGTTGTTGTCGATTTTAATACGGTTGGAATTCGTACTTAATTGAAGTGTTGTTCTGTTGTTCTCTAAAATGCTTTTAAACATTTTTAACGCAATTTCGGATAAGGTGCCGAACGATATCTTACGCTTTCCCGTGATCGTGATCCTGCTTCGTAGTGTGAGGAAGAGTGCGATCCCGATGTTGTAGGTCGGTATGAAGATGAAGAGCGACCGTTGCTTGGTTTAGCTAATTTGGAGAGAATTTTGTATTTTTTCGTTATATCTATATATTTTGGGCATTTTAAATATCTGTTTTTAATTTTGGTTGAATGAGTTTTATTAAGCTATATTTTGTTTTCAAACTGCAACTTTGGTTTGTTTGTTTTGGTTTTTTAGGGGTTTTTCTTAAATGTATAACGAATTTAAATAACTTTTGACCTTGGAATTTGGAACAAACGGTTTTATTCGAATGATTTGTATATACATTTGCGATTTTGTTTTTATTACCTTATATTGTATAGTAAAGATTAATGGAAAGTATATATGTATTTTCAAGATTTAAAACGATTTTTAGTTTTTTTTTTTATTATTATTAAATGTTAAGTTGCTAAAAATTTGCCTTTACAGTCTTTTTGGCGCATTTATCGTGTTTTTATAAATTTATTTGTTTATAAAAAGTTCCACATTTTGCTTTGTCTGGAGTTATTTTGATTGCACTTTATTTAAATTCGTTTTTTTTTCTTTTGCTTTTTCTTCCTCTTTTAATTTACGGAGTTTATGTTTGGTAATAAGACTACGGCTTGATTATGCGAATTAGCTACGACATTTTTTACTAAGTACATTCCGCGTTTATAGGTGAATTAACGCAGTTCACTACTAATTATCACGTGAAATGCAATATAGTATACATATGGATGTTAACTCCTTTTTGTTCCATCACACCTCTCATTATAAAGTTTGATCTAAAGAGTTAAAGTGTTTTTATTTAAGTTTTAAGCTTACCTGCATATGCAGCAGTGTACGACGATGAATGCGGATGATATTCACGGCGGTAATCGCGCTCGTACGAACCACTTTCGTAAGGTGCATGATGTGTGCTTGAATGTTTTGTTGGCGGTGGAGGCGTATAGCGATCATATTCACCATGATGTTCATACAACTCGTGATCACGAGATCTGATATAAAGAGAAAGATCGAAATAAGTATTTCTATTCGGTCCACTTTTGAAACACTTTACTACTTCAAGTTAAACAGATACATATTTTTGTGTATAAAGAAAAATTAGTTACATGTTTCATAATACTATAACATCTTCTATAACATACGCTATTTAATAACGGAATAAATTGCTTCTTACCTATGCGACTTTACAAGACCATATCCAGGATCGTCCATAACATAACGAGCTTTCTCTAAAATAGAATAAACCTTCGGTTTGGATGATTTTTCAAATGTTGGCGGTGGAGGAGTACTGAAAGATATCATCATTACATAAATATAAACATTGTCCAACTCGGACATATGGAAGAATGATATACATAATAATAAAAATACATGTGCATGTATTTACGTGTGTTAAATGATGTTTCTCCTACTACATCGAATTCATTTAAATGAATGAGCAATCGCATTTAAGAAAGAATTAGAAATCAAGATTTTTACATAAACTCACCGACAGCTATATACCGCGTGCTCACCGTAAGACTTCGAGTAATGAGTTTTTTTGTACATACGCTCTTTGCCATCCATTTCACGCATTTGTTCCATGCGAATGTCATCGTTAGCATCTGGTATCATGAATTTTCGTATCTCTGCCAATGCATAAGCCAAACGATGGTATGCTTCCGATGGCGGCGCTACTGTAGATATTTCAACATGCAAATCCCGGCTAAGATGGGCATATTTTGGATTGCCAGAGCTGCGCAATTCCTCTTCCTTAGCATGATCTCGCATAGAATTACGGCCCATAACCACCATTTTGCAAAAAGTTTCTTCTTGCAATTGACGTAATGTATTTCCTTTCGGCCCTAATATCTTTCCAACAAAATTGAATTTCGGATATTCCTTAATCGGGAATAAAACTTTTTGCGCAACACGTATTGGTTTTTCACTGTAGACGTTTGCATAGATTTCTGCCTTTGGAATTCGCCCACTAACCAAAATTTTTTCAATTTCTGAAATAAAAAATTTATTAGTGTACATGCAGATACATGCAATTATGCAGAACCGCCACTTTTCACATACACAAACAAGCACATATACCAACAAAAGTACTTACCGTCGTCTATTAAACGCTTACATACTGTATGGTCCTTTGCTAGCGTTTTTTTTTCCTGCTCACACTGTTCAAGGTAAGCATTGGTTTTTTCATTCAAAGGGGGTGCGTCATGGGATTGCATTGGCTGACCATGGTCTTGCCCGCGTCCATGCCCATCCATATCACCGCCACCGCCCGTATTACTTCCACCACCGGCTTCGTCGTCAGTACGCCTTTTTCTCTTGTAATCACTGGTATCTTCATTGTAATCACGATCATAATCTCTCGGCATATTTATGGTTTTTTTTTTGCAAAAATTTAATAATTTAGATTAAAAACTTTGAGCTCTTTTTCACTGCCGACAAATTTTCACAAGCTTAGATTTTTTTCCATGCGAAAAAAGATGGAGACTAGAAAGTGTGGCCAAGTTAAGAAATTTACAAATGCATACCTGCTTTTTACAGTGGTGTTAAAAAAAAATAAACTTATAATAAAATTATTAATTTTGTTTCTCATATAATTTATATGAATATCTGTTTCTATTTATTTAATTGTGATCGTCCCAAGTCTATTTGTCATATTTAACATAAAAATATTCTCTATTTCTTTATCTAAGTTTTTTTTTGCTGTTATCTCAAGGAAGCTGATCCGGTACATTTGCATTTCCGAATGCACTCTTGCGGTTGCATTTTCCGTTTTGACATCTCGGTTTTGCGGCGAATGATTGTAAAAAGTGTCAAAATATTTCGCAGTTTCAAGGGGAGGAAAATTAATGAAAGACTTGACAGGTATTTAGTCTGCCCAGCAGCATATATGCCGTTGTCTAATTTTTTAAATTACCATAAAACAAGTGAACATAATTATTAAAAGCCACAATTTATGTAGGGTAAAGTAACTGTGTTAAGATTTATTCTGGAAATATTTTAAGCGATTGGCAGCAGCGATATGGCGGAAAATGGTATGCGTGTTGTAGGTCCCGGCGGTGCTGAGGTAGGCGACTATAGCAATGGAAATCATGAACACGAGCTAGGTCAGGAAAATATTAAGAGCACGCCAAGGCTAAATGAAACTGCCCAAAAGTACATGCAAGAATTGCTCGCTGAGCGAGCACGAATGGAGACTCATTTTCCTCTAGCTGTAAAATTGATTGATGAAGGTAAGCTTAGATAAATTTTAAGTGTTTTAATTATAATAAACAAAAACTTGACTCCTAGCCCTGGAACGTATTCAACTAAATGGTCGGATACCCACGCGCGAACAATACGCTGATGTTTATCAACAAAGAACTATTAGACTGTCACAAAAGGTGCACGTTCCAATAAAGGATAAAAAGGTTTGTCGATATGCATGCTTTTTTTTATTAATATAACAAATTCGTATATTATAATATAATTTTTCTCTACTGCAGTTTAATTATGTTGGAAAGCTTCTTGGACCAAAGGGAAATTCACTGCGTCGCCTTCAAGAGGAGACGCAATGCAAGATTGTCATACTCGGTCGTTTCTCAATGAAAGATAGGGTCCGTGAAGAGGAGTTGCGAAACTCTGCTGATGCCAAATATGCCCATCTTAATTTGCCGCTACATGTGGAAGTGTCAACCGTCGCCCCACCGGCTGAAGCGTATGCACGCATTGCCTATGCTTTAGCAGAAATTCGACGATATTTGATACCAGACAAACACGATGATATCCGACAGGAGCAGTTTCGTGAACTAATGGAGGATCCTGAAGCTGCTAAAAAAATCACTATACGCCAACAGCAACAGCAGCAACAACAACAGCAAAATAATGCTCATTCTGTTGGTGGCAATAACAATAACTCGAGCCATCGTCCCGGTGGTTCAACTGGAGGAAGTGGCGTGTACAGGTATTAGTCAATATCAAATTCAAAATTGTGTAATGTTTAAAGCAATCGCGCATTTTATAAGATATCGAGGCTTTAACTATATAATTTTTCTAGGCCTAAATACCAGCAACAATCTCATAACTACCACTACAATGATGAGACTGTTTATTATCGTTCGCATAACAACACTTACCATCAACCTAAACCTTATGTGCCAGGTGATAATAATCTTCTTGTTTTTTTATGAAAATCTCTTTCAAGTATTTATATGATATATACATATACCATGATACCATGAATTTTTGTATCATGACATATACTTTTCAATTTCTTCTAGCTGTCCAACGCTCAAATTTAATGCACTCAACAATGCCACCACAAGCCATGGTGAACGCTTCGCCATCGGGATTGATGCCCAATGCATCAAATTATAATGGGCGCGGATCGGTTATGAATAGCGGCGTACCATCCAATAATGTTAATAATTTACGATATCGTTCTTCATTGCCGCCGTATCAATTTGTAAAAAAATAATGGAAACATATTGCCATAAATGGAGTTCCAGTGGTTATTTTATGTTGAGCGTTTTCCATATTTCGTATGTAATCATGCACTTGCATATACATATATACATCCATACATATGGACGTATATGCAAACCGACATTTGTTTACCCTTAGAGCTGGCAAATGTTTCATTTGTTAACTATTGTACTGGTTGCGTTATATAGGCGTAGTTATACATATTATTATATACGATACATTAAACATACATAAATCCATTAATACATACACATCCTATATATGGATAAAACGTTTTGCGTGTACCTAGAATTTTATGCATATGTACCGTGACTTTCAGACTTATAATTTTTTTTTTTTCCAAATGATCTTCAGTTTGTTTTACGTACTTATTTCATTTATTTTCACTTCCGAGGATTCAAAGAACTCTTGCCTATTTTCTTTTTAATAATCTTAATATGTGACCATGCTGAAAAATATACACAATAATACGTATTTTATGAAGCTCTAAAAGAGAATTATTTATATCAATATCATATACATAAACGATTTTCTTATTCATATTATATTTGGAGACTTGGCGGTTCTGCGTTTGTTTAAAATCGATATGTTAAGCTAAAATGTGCTAACATCAATCAAGTAGATTTATAAACTTATATGTCCTTTAAACACAAATTTTGTTCTGAAAAAATATTTTTGAAGGGCAGATAAATTTTTAAACCTACTTAAAAAATTGCACTAAATACGATATTTGCGGACGCAACCATATCGCTTAAGCCTTGACGCAGTTCAACTAAAAATATACTTTTTTTATAATTATTGTAATATTTTGAAATAATATATTTAACGTAGAAATTTGTTACATTTATTTAAACGAATGTGCTTTTTGTTCGTTTATAAAAAAATCTTAAACTATGGATTTTATTAAAGTAAAAAAGATTTGGCAAGGATATACATACATATGTATGAACGACTTATTGTTTGTATGTACATATGTGCATACATATATAAATATGTAACCTAGATTTTCTGAGTGCGTCAAATTGTTATAACGCTACGGTTATATTGATACACACAAATACATACATACAGAAAAACATAAATATATACATACGTATAATGCCTCTGTAAAGAAATAAAAATAAATAATTGATTTAAATAAAAAGAAACACAAATTTCAAGTTTAATTAGTATTTATAATGATACTCTCATGTACGAATAATCGTTGAATTAAAATTGAAAATAAATCTATAAATATATAATATAAATAATACAAGTTTGATTTTCCAAGACACGATTGGCGATGAAAGACCGTTGCCGAGTGTAAGCTGGGTGTACTTCCACCCAGTAGTACCCAGCATGATAAAAACATTACAAGGTAAATTCTGATTTTTTTTCTGACGTTTGCAAGCATTTTAAAATCATATAAAAATGAAAATAAAAAAATTAAGTTGTTCACCAATTGTTGTTGTTTGAGATTGAAAATGAGAATGTGTGTGTGAGATTGAGTTTTAAATTATGCTGGCAAATGGTTTAAATAATGCTGGCAAACGTCAAACTGCCTCTCAATGGTTTTACCTTGTTATGTATGTTATCATGGTACCCAGTGTGTTCGATTACTGGTTCCAGCAATGTGTAAAGGCAAACCTCCGGATATACTTCTGCCAAGAAAAACTTTGGCTGAATTTCTTTATTCTTTCTGAACGTTTGGAATAAACTTTTTTGTTTACTTATTCTTTAGAACGTTCCTGATGATATGTTAACGTATATTTCAAAAGCATTCTGTTGATTCCGGCTGTGAAATGGGATTATCCGGAATGTATAAAGAAACGCAGCCTTCGTCTAACCAAACCAAAGCCCAAAGTGGAGCTCGGGGAAAGAACTTTGCAAAGTGTTAAGCGCCAACGGCATTTTTTATTCTTTCAATCCCCGCTTTGACATTTTTCAAGAACCGGAAACCATAAAATGGATAAACCGACCGGATATACATACATACATATGTAAAAAAGTGTGCATATGGCCGTCCATACCTTGGTCATATAAAAACCATTCTTTAAAGTATACGATTAATTTGCATTTAACTACAAATTTTAAAAGAAAAACGAAATTTTTTTATTACATTTTCAGCTCAAGGAGCCTGTGTGGGAATACACCTTTTCAATTAGTCGTTCACAATAGAGATTGTCGTGGAATAGGGGGACGCGCGGTACTGATTTAAAATTGGCCGGGATGGTCGGCATCGGGAAGATCTGTAAAATTGGCAGGCGGGACGGGACCAAAATCTTTTCCCAACACTCCCGATAAAACCGCAAACCCCGAAAATTCCCAAAATCTTCCTTAACGATGTTTGAAATATGCACTTTTTTTAAGCAAAACAAAATAATCGAAGATACTAGATCTTTCATTAATATTTTTATTATTTAAAATAAATTTGAAAGACATGAACATTTTTGTCAACCTTCGATCGGCTTGCAAACCATGCTACACACGTTAAAATTTCAAATTTGTTTTCCGTTTGTAGCTTGCTGTAGAGAAAACGTCGGATTGCCGGGTTCGGTACTTAAAAATTGAGTTGGAATGAACGGGATCGGTATTAAATTTTTAGTCCCGTGCCCGTCTCTAGTTCACAATAAACTTCTTGACACTTCGAGAGTGACCAGAATCAAAAATTATGAAAACTGTAATTATTCGATGCAATCATTTGAAAATGCAATAGAAAAATTTAAGGTGTTCTTACACGATATGTATATGCATCTTTTTCAATACATATGTAATTGCATATGTCTGTCTAATTCACAGTCTTTATTTAATTATTAAAAAATACGTTCTTTGAAAACGAAATAAACTAAACTCAGATGATTTTATCTGTGCGTCAGATGAAAATAGAAACATTTCTATTTCGTATGTACGTGCATCTGCTTTGTGCAGAAGAAAATCCAATTTGCCTTTACACGATGGCTGCGTTTCTTTGTACATTCCGGATAATCCCATTTCATCATCAGGAACGTTCTAAAGAATAAATAAACAAAAAAGTTTATTCCAAACGTTCAGAATGAATAAAGAAATGCAGCCGATATGTTGGCATTTCCATACATATGTAAAAAATTACATGTACACATGCAGATACATATCGTGTAAGAACACCTTCCTTAGTAAAATTTAAATCGGAAAATGCATTTTCTTCGCGGGATTCACTGTACATAATTAGAGGTATAAAATTACGTAGCACTCTTTGCCTAGAACAATTTGATTAAAATCAACATCTGGTCACCTTTGTGATGTATGCCCGGCAAAACGTCGCAATTTTTGTCATTTCTCGGCGTCTTGTTTTTAAATGGTTGTGAAATTGTGCGCGTATTATTAAAAATGTCCACTATTGATAAATTGTCTATTCAGGGTATTCGTAGTTTTGGTTCGAATTCGGAGGATGTTCAGGTAAGTCCAATTTTATGTTAAGCGTTTTGAAATTAAGCTACTGTAGGGGGCTTCCCAGACATGTATTGGCATCTTTGTCCGGAAAGTCGAATAAGCTATTCTCAAATGTAGTATGTATGTTTTATCCAATCGTCATTTATATATTTGAAAGACGATAACATTTGCCTCGCCGGTCACGTTGATCTTGGGAGAGAATGGTTGCGGCAAGACAACTGTAATTGAGTGCCTCAAATATGGTCTTACTGGAGAAGTACCGCCCGGCAGTGATCGTGGTCGAAGCTTTGTACATGATCCAAAAATATTCCATCAAGCCGGCACATTGGGTCAAGTTAAATTGGAGGTTAGCAACCTCCAAGGAAAACGTATATCGGTTTGTCGTTCGATGAAGATATCTAACAAAAGGGGCAAGTATTCATTTGAAACGTTAGATGCCACTATGAACTATATAGAAGGCAAAGGCGATGGCAAAGGTTCCACGAATTCCATTAGCAAGCGTTGTGTTGATGTCGATGTGGCTATGTGTCAATTTATGGGTTAGTCAGGAAATACACAGCTTTGCAAATCCAAATAAAAGTAACGAATGTATTTATTTTTAGGTGTATCCAAAGCTATTATTAACAATGTGTTATTCTGTCATCAAGAGGATTCAAGTTGGCCGTTAGATGAGTCGAAAAAATTAAAAGAGAAGTTCGATGCTATTTTTGGTATAACAGAGTTCAACAAAACAATCGAAAGGATCATAAAAATGCGCAAAGAGGAAGCTGATAATTTAAAAGTTAAAGGTAACTACTTTTATAAATTTATTAATGTATGCTTATTAGTATATAATAAAAGCAATCATCTGCCCTCTTGAGCACCTTTATTAGAGTTAGAAGTCTTTAAAATTGTGAAATATCTTACAGAGGCAGACTTACGCCTTCTTGCGCACTTGAAGCAAGAAATGGATGATAAGTCACTGACTCTAAAAAAGGCACAAGAGAAGTGCGCTGCTATAGAAAAAGAGTGTGAGCGTTGCGAGGAAGAAATGAAGCCAATCGATACTCGTTTATTAGAAATTCGCAATGTTGAGTATGAGGTGGGCAAGTATCAGGCGCAAAAAGTAGAAGTGGAAACTGAGTAAGTAGCAAAATATCAAGATTTATAAGAATTACCGATAAACTTTCCCTTGCAATTCAACTTAGACAAAAGAACTGTCAGGAACAGATATTGGGTTTGAGTAGCAATATAAAAGTGCCATTTGAGGGTAGTCGAGAAGAATTAGAGCAGGAAATTTCTGATTTCGCTCAGAAAATGCTTGAAAAACGTCAACGACGCAATGTTCTAGATAAAAAGGTAAACAATTTGAAGGTAGAAGAAAAAACGATGCAAAAAAGATATACTGATTTGGATAAGAAACGCATTCTGCTGATGCAGCAGCGTCAAAAGGAACAAGAATGTATTTCCAAGCGCGCTGAGCAGTTAAAAACGCTCTGTCAACACTTAGGGATCACACTCACCGATGATCTAGAATTTCAGCTTGAAAGTGTACCAGGTGTATTAGAAAAAGTAGAAAACTCATTGGTCAATAAGGAGTGTGAT